GTGAGCGAACGCCGGTATGTGTTCGCTCACCTCCCGATCTACTGAGCCGACCTGTGACAGTCTCATTGTCACAGGTCAGCTAGAACTATGAGGTGAGTGAAAAGCACTCACCTCATAGTTCTCCTTTAATAAGGTGCATGTTTTCAAGTTCTCTTGGCAAAATCACAGATGAAATATATAGCTTATATGGTTCTCTCCTGTTGGCAGAGTCTAAAGCCAGAAAAAAAGGCCATTGCTGACCTCTTGTAAATTCTGGCTTTATTACTGCCCACTGACCAGGAATATTAGCATGCAGTCAGAATCTTTACACCACATACTTGACCCAGATCACTGCTGAAACTACTGGATCAACATAACAGTCAGAGTACAGGCTTCATTAAAGCTAAAATGATTACTTTGTTCTGGGCTAGAATCTTGTACAACTCTTCATGGCTTTGCTGGGTAATCAATATGCTTTCCGCAGAGGTGACACAGCCACTACAGGCCAAGCAATCGTTCAGTGTAATCTTTGCTTTTTCTAGCCTTTGGGAAGCTCCATCCTGCACAACAAGGGAAAAAAAAAGATAAAATACAGAAAGATTACAGCGGACCTTTACACTCAAAAATCGAATTCTACCAATGCATCCCTCTATGTATGATGATTAATAATAACAGACATGTCAGGTGTACAATGCTTTGATTCTGAAATATTTACACTTGCAGAGCATTCACCTCCTGCTTTGAAAGGGAAAAATGCCAAAGCATTGCATCCTGGGAAGGTTAAATTAGCAGAGCATTGCTGGGAAATCTCATCTCAGTGAAAGGCATTTTCCTCCCCTGAGATGATGTGCATGGTCACATGTCTAGTCACATGTGCCAGAGTTCCAGGAAGTAAAAGGAGAGCAAGTAATCCAACCTTAGTAACCATGGGCACTCTCAGAAGACTGGGGAAGAAAAGAGAACTAAGGTATGCAAAGAATCCAAAACCTGCAATTATCTAGAAGTATGTGTTTGTAGATTGTCATTACTAAACATTTCTAAAGGTGTGTTTGTTTATTTTATAGATATCGGTAAAGGTCCACTTTATTATGGGCCTTTAGCATCTGAAACATCCTTTTTTTATTAACTTTAACCACTTCCGGGACGCAATACGTCTATAGACGGTGGCCCGTTAAAGTGGTTAAAACAAGAACACGGCTGCTGCAGCAGCCATGTTCTTGGTACCGCTTTTAACAGCCAGCGATGGCTGGTAATGTACAAGCGATCCGGCGTCTGTACAGCCGCCGGATCGTTTGTATCGTGCCGTACAGTGATTTCATATATTTGCAACCTACACGGAGTAGATAGATTGTGTAATGATTCTATGCACTGACACTCTCAGAGGTGCTTTTAATTAGATTGAAAAGCACAACATACTTATGCATTCTGTTTATTGATACAACATATTCTGCTGTGTCTCATAGAGACCTATATATGAAGTCAAGCAGTGAATATTTCCTTTGTTATAGGAAAAATTTAGGTTAATTGTGCCTAAGCATTATCCCGAAAATGTGCAGTTTGTTTGAAATTCCTCCTAAAAAAATAGAAGTGCACTTCCTGGTATGTGATCACCCTAACCGTCCCCTCCGCTCCTCCCAAGACCTCCTGCTCTCTAGCTCCCTCATCAAATATTCCCATTCTCACCTCCAGGATTTCTCTAGTCTCCCCCAACCTTTGGAACGCCTTACCCCAACCTGTCCGGCTATCTCTTACTCTGTCTGCCTTTAGGAGATCCCTAAAGACTCCTCTTCAGGGAAGCATATCCCACCTCAATCTAACCACAGAAACTATCACTTTCTCAAATAATCCATCCCCACACAGCTACCTCCTCATGTATCACTTGACCTTCTCTTTTAGATTGCAGGCTCCCACGGGCAGGGCCCGCCTTACCATCTTGTCTTGATTTGTATTTTAACTGTAATGTCTTCCTTATATTGTAAAGCACTGCGCAAACTGTTGGCGCTATATAACTCCTGTATAATAATAATCTCACTACTGCTCTGCTCACTGTTTTCCTATTGCTGGAGGCCTCTTGCAAGATGGCTGCCTTCACAAAGACACAAAGGGCAGAAGGCATAGTAAGTCAGTAATTGGGAAAAGATTAGCTGCAGAAAGAAATATGATCGTACATTAGGCTGTCATGTCCAGGAGCCTTGGTTGAACAAAAAAGCAGATCACCAGCACTCAGTAATAAAGTTAAATATGTCCCTTTAATTGGACAAAGACGTCACAGTGATGGAGAAGCCGAACGTTTCGGAACCGCGCAGGGTCCCTTCCTCAAGGCAGAAAACGTGACGTTTTTCTGCCTTGGTTATCACTACGAGCACCATCTTTCTTGTTGGCCAGGACTGCTGCAAGGTGTGCGGAGGGCTCCCCCATCGATTTACAGGAGCATAGGTGAACACCAGGGAAACACTACTAGAAGTGATCAGTAGCTTTTCTATTAGTTTACTGTCACTGTACTACAAACCTGAACAAAGCCGAGGAGCCAGGTAACCAGTGCTCTTTAAATTTTACAGCTGGTGCATAAAAGATGGAGTTTTGCTCTAGTTGTTGTCAAAGGAGCAGGCGCCTCAAAAAAATCTTACTGGTTCCTGGACTGGACAGACTGGCTCCTGAATTATATATTAATTTGTGCACCCCTGTCATACCTGTATTGTTTCAGTCAAGCTGAGCTCACCTCATTAACCTGGAAATAGCTCCCATCATCTTCGATTCGGATCTTAGCTGCTGCTTTTCCAGGTTTCTTTTCAACTTTAACTGGTTTAATGCAATCCTATAGAGAGATACAAATAATATACTTTATTTCAAAATTAAAAATTAGTATGTGCCTGCTAGTGTAACAAAGGACAGTAGATGTATATACCAGAAAAACAATTACTCCTTAAAGTGAGCTTCAACATAAATACTCAGTGACACGTGTGTATTACGGACACACCTAATCCAAGTGAAACAAATGGCAAACGCACTCATCAATTCATAACTAGCCTTAAGTCCCCGTTCACACCAGGGCCTTTGTAGCTCGTATTTTTCAGCACGGAAAAGCTCCGCACAAGAAATCACATTGATTTCTATAGTCCCCCTTAAGGTCTCAGCACAGCGTTGCGCTGAGAAAAAAGCAGGTCGCTGGAAAATGGTACACAAGCTTCTTTTTTTGGGCAGATCAGCGCGATTAGGAATAGGAAAAAGGGTCACAACGTGCTGATCTCCCTAAATAGAAGCGCATACTTGACAGGCTTGTGTGGAGCTTTACCGTGCTAAAAAATACGAGCTACAAACAGTGGCGTCACAATGGGGGTGCGGCCCGCACCTCAGTGCCACCATTGGAGGAGTGACACCACTGACAGTCATTTTGGTGTCACCCCCTAGGAAAAGTCGGGCACTTGGTCACGGACCGAGTGCCTGACGGTGTCAGGAGAGAAGAGGGGACCCAGCGGCATATCTCATCCCGCCGGGTGAACGTCCCCTCCTCTCTCTGGCGGCGTCCATTACCAAAATGTCAGCCGGCAGGCGTCATACGTATAATAAACAAATACATGTGAATTTGTAACTCCTATGAAATCGGTGAAGGTGCTATACCCTTGTACACATCTATAGGTATTAGGTGCACTTGGTAGGTAGGTCATCATGTCACATAGTTTTGGTTAATCTAAAGTTGATTGAACAGTTTTTGTAATGTGTATGGTGATCCTTAAACACATCCTGTGTAATCTGAAAGGGCAAGCATTTAAAACTACTAGAATAAAAATGATTAATATTCACAGGGTTATTCACAAAAGGGTGAACAGTTTGGAGAAGGCAGGAGAAGTGATCCATCTAGGACAGCATAGCAGAAATGGAAAGTGAGCTGAATAGGAGAATATTTCCAAATCGGCTATTCTGGCCTAGATTGTTCACTTCTCCAAACTCTTCACCCTTTTGTAAATAACTGTGTATGAAAACGCCAAGCTGTATATGAAAACAGAGGGCAGGCAGTGGAAGCCTGCACTGCACATAGCAGTGCACCCAACCTGCTATGTTGCTCCCCCAATCCTGCGCACAGCCACCCCTGCTACATGTCATGTGACATACACGTGTCCTTCACTTTGTTTTCTGCACTTGGTACAGGAGCACTGACGGAACTATGACACTGTTGTCACTCTCGGTCATTATATCGCACTGGCACACCTGAGAGGGCCCGATATAATCATCCAGGTCGGTCAACTGCAGCACTCCACTGAAATGAGACGCCATCTCCTCAAAATGCGGCTATAGACCTTACAACTGAGCCAGAGGTCCTGCTGAGGACCTCCCCTTCCTACACAGCCGGTCACATGGCCGTGTGACGTCACCCCGCGTTGTCCTGGGTGGCCTGTGTTCTTTCATTGGGTTCGGTGGAGAGTGGAAGCTCCGTGTTGTCTGCAGCTGTCACTATGGTGCTGGATCTGGACTTGTTTCGCGAGGACAAGGGAGGAAACCCGGAGCTCATACGGGAGACCCAGAGGAAGAGGTTTAAGGATCCAGGCTTGGTGGATGCTGTGCTCAAGTCAGACGCTGCATGGAGGAAATGTGAGTCACTAGCCAGGCAATGCATGGATCTGATAACAATGCGGGAGTGAGAGCCACATCCAGGATGGGCCACAATGACCATACATATATAGCTATGTATACACACATGAGCGAAGACCGGCTGTAGCCGGAGCCCCATGTGCTGAGCTGACATCTGATGCAATCCTGCCGCAAGCAAGCTACAGAGGCGTGGTGACAGCTAAACATACCCACCCTGCACTAGTACACCTCATCTGTGCTCTGCTTTGTCACTTTTTACTGGATGTAGACATGGATTGCTCCAAAGCTGCTGGATGGGTTCAGGGATTTCTTTTCGGGTGTGTGGGGGGATTGCAGTGAAATCTGGATGTGTATAAAAAAAATGACCACAATAACATTTAATAAGCGTAGTAAAGTTGTCCATACACTGAGCCAATGTCTTGATGAACCCGCTGAAATTCATTCACTGTTGGCAGCCTTTCACCTGATCAGAAAATTGAAGATGTGGGGCAGTACGTTTTCGGCTAAACAGTCACTGTTCAGGTATTCTGGCAGCAACACACCTGCCAGAGGCAGACCTCCCGCCAGTGCAACTGAACCTGGGCCCGTGCCTGGGGGGGCCATTGATCCGACAGATGGGGGGGCCCGCCAGCCCATGCATACCGATCTGATACTCCCAGCGCAGAGATGGGAGGGGGACAGCCGGATACTGATTCAACACTCCCGGTGCAGAAATGATGGGGGCCTCTGGATACTGAGGAGGGAGCCAGGGAACGAAAGCCTGCAGGCACATCATGGGGCAGTGCTGGGGCCTCGGCCGTAAGGACCTGGCAAGCAGCCGTCTGAGCAGCCGGGCGCGCTGTCTCCGACACACAAACTGGGGTGTTTTTCTGCAGCCTCCCCCACCAGAAAACAGTTGAAGACCAGCCAGAAGGGTTGATGGTAAATAATTCACTAAACTGATTATTTGTAGCCCAAATGATGGACATATTGTATAAAGTACTGCTGGTATTAGTAGTGCTCTATAGCAAGTGCCATTCTGCATTGCAGCAATACAGAATAGCACCCTCTATAAAAGACTACAAATCTCAGCAGTACTTTATTCTTTTCTATTTTTCAAAATTTTATTTTTTTTGTGGTTGCTTCAGGGTGTATGGATTAGGGGGGGTTTGTGTTGGGTTTTTTTTTGGGGGGTGTAAACACTTCATCTAGTGTTTGTCTTATTTTCCTGCAGTTTGTATGCATGAAACCCAGTACTATGTGCAACCCACTGCGTTAAAGGGATGCTCCAGTTTTTAATACGCATGAGCTCCTGTGTGTTGTAACACAATTAATTTGTAATCATACATAATAAAAATATATCCCTAAAGGGGACACCTCCCTGCTCAGATGTTATAAACGGAGAAGTCTGTTTGTTTTTGTTTTAGCGTGAACTTAGTAATCCAGCCAATAGTCTATTCTTCCTGCGATCTGTCAGCCAGGAGAGTCTGCTGAGGTCTGAAGTCCCCTATGCACATCCCAATTTTTCATGATTACAGGGTCAGAGTAGAAGGGGCTCAGTGGCTGAGTTGTGAACCATTGGAAAACACACAAAGCTTTGTCTTACATTTCTGGTTTGAAAAGGAGAGTCACTCCAGTGATGGACTGTCTTCATGTTTGAAAGGGGACAGGAAAAGCATAGGCAGTAATGCCAGGCACACACATCTTGTATCCTAAGTTCCCATCACATAATGGGACAATATGCAGCTTGCTTTTATGATGCTGGAAGACAAGATCTGTGGCCATGACCATTGTCTGTAATCAGCTTATCCCCAGATTTTGTTTTGAAATGGTTCTGAATTATTGCTCTCATAGTATTTTTTGTGCTTTGATTTACATTCCTGTTATCTTTGTGTTTTACAGGCAGGTTCCAAACAGACAACCTGAACAAGCAGAAAAATCTCTGCAGCAAGACTATTGGGGAAAAAATGAAGGTAAAACTAAAACAAATACAACTCCTTAACCACTAACAACTTCTCGTCCTTTTGGAGGTGTAGTGCTGAAAAGTGCTTCACATTAATGTGACCAGAAATCACAGTTTAAATGTCTAGATAAGTGTGTTTCAGCTGCAGACCACAACAACAGTCATATTTTCAGGATTTTCACCATGCAATCGTTTTTGCGGCAGCCATCTTTAAATTCTGAGGCGGCATTCTTTTCACAAATTGGATGGCTGTGGCTTAAAACCGCTTAATCTGTTTTGACCAGTGTAGCTAAACAAAAATTGTTCTGTTTAAAATGACACTTAAACAATTTTTCTGGTACAAGGTATTGATGCAAATGGGGAAAAAAAAGTGTGAAATATTGTTTATTTTGAGTCTATGCTGACACGGATTGCATAGAGTCCCACTTCCTGCACTGGGATCCTCTACTTCTAAATGCCACATAACTGTTCTGAGGGCTTGTTCACACCAAACGCAGACCAGATCTGCATGAGTTTCTGCACACGCAGTGCAGTGTGTTCTGCCGCGTTTTTGATGTGTTCCGGACAGTTTTTGGTAAAAAAAAAAATAATAATAATAATATTTAAAGTTTTAGAATGGGCTTTCAGTGCGTTCTAGGGCGTTTGCATGCATTTTTGATGCGTTAGCATGTGTTCCAGAGCAGGTAAAATAGGGCTAGCTGCAGTTTTTTTACATGCTCTGGAACTGAATGCTGCGTTGTGAACTAGAGCCCCAAATACCATTGGAATACATTGGACGCAGTTTTGATCCGGTCTGTAACTGCTCTGCTCCTGGAACGCGCTTGGTGTGAATAAGGCCTAAAAGTTCACGAAGCCTTGATTCTGACCCCAAAATGAATGCTTTAGTTATGACACCACACTGGTATAATTGATTGGTAAGGTTACTGTGCACATAAAAAGTGCTTTGCACTGTTTCCTTGTATAGAGAGAAAATGTGTGATGTTATTTAATTTGGGGAAATGGCAAGAGAGCCTTGTAATCAAATAATAAAGGAAACGTATTTGTTTTTAAAAGTGCTTTGTGGGTTTTCTGCCATTGTAGAAGAAAGAGCCTGTTGGTAACAGCGACAAACTCCCAGAAAATGCCCAGGATGTAGACCAGTTAACTGCAGAAATTCTGAGTGTGAGTATGTTCTCATATGCAATAACAATGTTCTGTATTAACAATAAGCTGGCTAGGGACCTTGGGTCTTGTCCATAGTTACTATAGTACAACTCTAAAGCAGCTACATGGTGCTACATAATGATACATTATACAGCCTCACACATTAAATTAAAAATGTCAAATCTTTTGACTGCATTCAATAGGATTTCACCAGCAAGGGTTAGTATAAAGCAACACTGAGAATTTACTGAAATAGAAGAGAACGTGCATTTTGTGGTACAGTTATGTTATCAGAGATGCAGTAAATATGGTTTCCTTAGTAGCAGAGAAAGACTTGCAAGCGTTTTGTTGGCTCATTTGCTTTGCTTTTTCCAGCAGTTTTACTTCCTGAAATAACCAGCTCTTTGGTAAAAAAAAAAATAATAATAATAATATTTAAAGTTTTAGAATGGGCTTTCAGTGCGTTCTAGGGCGTTTGCATGCATTTTTGATGCGTTAGCATGTGTTCCAGAGCAGGTAAAATAGGGCTAGCTGCAGTTTTTTTACATGCTCTGGAACTGAATGCTGCGTTGTGAACTAGAGCCCCAAATACCATTGGAATACATTGGACGCAGTTTTGATCCGGTCTGTAACTGCTCTGCTCCTGGAACGCGCTTGGTGTGAATAAGGCCTAAAAGTTCACGAAGCCTTGATTCTGACCCCAAAATGAATGCTTTAGTTATGACACCACACTGGTATAATTGATTGGTAAGGTTACTGTGCACATAAAAAGTGCTTTGCACTGTTTCCTTGTATAGAGAGAAAATGTGTGATGTTATTTAATTTGGGGAAATGGCAAGAGAGCCTTGTAATCAAATAATAAAGGAAACGTATTTGTTTTTAAAAGTGCTTTGTGGGTTTTCTGCCATTGTAGAAGAAAGAGCCTGTTGGTAACAGCGACAAACTCCCAGAAAATGCCCAGGATGTAGACCAGTTAACTGCAGAAATTCTGAGTGTGAGTATGTTCTCATATGCAATAACAATGTTCTGTATTAACAATAAGCTGGCTAGGGACCTTGGGTCTTGTCCATAGTTACTATAGTACAACTCTAAAGCAGCTACATGGTGCTACATAATGATACATTATACAGCCTCACACATTAAATTAAAAATGTCAAATCTTTTGACTGCATTCAATAGGATTTCACCAGCAAGGGTTAGTATAAAGCAACACTGAGAATTTACTGAAATAGAAGAGAACGTGCATTTTGTGGTACAGTTATGTTATCAGAGATGCAGTAAATATGGTTTCCTTAGTAGCAGAGAAAGACTTGCAAGCGTTTTGTTGGCTCATTTGCTTTGCTTTTTCCAGCAGTTTTACTTCCTGAAATAACCAGCTCTATCGTTTTTGTTTACTTAAACTGCTTGGCTACACAGGAACCTCAACTCAAACTCAAATCGTATCATATGGAAAGGGAAACATCCTGATTCTGAGAAGTGCATTTAGTTATTTTAATTGCATTCTATTTCAGATAATCTGCTATTTTTAAAGGAGAACTATTGGGAGAGTAATAAAAAACCTCTTGCCAATATTTTGAGCCTGCCTGTAGCACTGCAGATGTCACCCACTGGCTGTATAGCTCGAGAATTGAGCGATCACAAACCGCTGATTACTCAGCTCACGGTCTTCTCCGTCGGTAATGATTCCCCCTCCCCTCTCCCTGTGTTCCTCCAGCGCTCATTGGAGGGACAGACAAGGTAGAAGGCAAGCACACCTGGCTCTGGCTGAAGAGAGGCAGAGCCAGCTGTCAATCAGGCAGCAGGGTGAATCTCGACCATATTGTCAGTATCTTTTCCCAGCTGCAGTGCAGCTCTGCACTGTCAGCATATAGCGAGCAGTAGCCCGCTGTATGCTGACTCGGGGTCACAGGGGGACATTAGTAAATGTACTCCTGTGACCCAAAAGAGAACCATAGCTAAAAAAGTGGTTTGGCCGTAGTTTTTTTCTTTTAATTAAGGACTGCATATTTTAATGGAAGGGACTGCACATGGTACAGTAAGTGAACGTTCAGTACAGCAGCACTCTTTTCAGTCCCTGCATATTATTTTACTGGAGGTATTTGGCACATTGAAAGTCTGTGAGGCCAGCTATTTCAATTTTGGTAATGAGCATGGACCAGAAGTAGTCGGTTTATGGTACTGTTGCAATGGCAGCTCTGTATTCACAGGGATGTATCTTGGAAAGGGCACCAAAGAGGTAAAACCTCCTTTGGAGTTCCTTTTTTAATACTGTACCCAGAATTCAGCAGGGTTTGTCTTGTCAATCAGTTTCTCAATGAAGGAAAACACTAAGATACCTATGGTATATTAACAAAGCTGTTAAACAATTGGAAGTCTAATTTATTTTTATTTTTTTATCATTTTACTATATGACATTGTTTTTCTCCTGTAGTGAATAAATAGAAAATATTGGCCCTGAAAGGTTTTATTACTTCTGAAACCCTTCAACAGTATATATCGGTTTAACTTGAAGTAATAGACTAGGGATATGCCACTCAAGGGCATTTTTAAACGTCGCAGAATCTCCCTTCTTAGTAGTTTTGTTCCTAAGAAGGAATAAATTGTAACCACTATGTCGCAGGGATTGTAGCTTAGTCACTGACTTTTTTTTAAAGTCTGAAGCTTGCTATAGAATAACTGCCTTCAGTAGATACACACTTAATTCAGTGCAGCTGATGATGAACATGGCACACCAGTGATTTGTAGCTAGCTATTAGTGTTTGTGAACCCAAAAATGTAACTGTCTTTAAAATGGTTCCCTTTTTCTTTTTTTCATTTTACTGTAGCAAGTTTTTCTTATTGCTTGGGTGACAAGTGTATAGATGCCCATACACCTGCCGATTATCGAACAATAATCGCGGGTGGTCCCGTGTTTGTACGATAATCGGCAGGTGTATGGAAGGCGTGCGACCGTTTCTACTGTACGGTCGCACGCCTTTTGTCTCCCGAGCACGCCTGAAAACCCGCTGAGAATTGTACGATTTTCGGCAGGTTAGTGGCGTTCTCGGGAGACCAATGCCGAATGGCATTGCACACACTGCCCGCTCAGCACTGCAATCATCGGAAGCCCTCCCCGCTGAGGGGATGATCGCAAGTACGATCTGCCTGTCCAAAATGGACAGATTGTACTAATTTTTCATTATCTTACAACCATCGCAAGATGAAAGTCGTGCGATGGTTGTAAGGTGTATGGGCACCTTTTAGAAATACCTGTTGATCTTGCCATCCTCTTCCTGGGAAGAAAGGGTGATGTGACTACATAGTCCAGTTAATGTGGAAGCGATTTCAGCCTGCTACATGTGCTTCCACATTCTGACTACACAACACTGCTGACTTGCAGTGTGCTTCTAGTTAGCTCATCCACCTTGTCAGATCTGCCCACTCCTTATAATTCTTTATGGATGAGAGTTACCCACACAGTAGGTGATGAGCAAGGGAGTTGAGGTCCATGATTATGCTGTGACCTTACAGACTTCTCCCCTTTCATAGCCATAGCCATAGCCCTGCAAAGACAGAAGTTGTGTTTATAGCGGTCTTGTGGCTGCTATATTTTGAAGCATGCACCATGCTGATAGGTTATTTGCCTGATAACCAGCGTGATGTTAAAATCTATATTAATGTGTATTTTAAGGTCCAAAAAATAATTACTGCTTATTTTCATAATTACTATGTTTATTTTCTTTAATAATGTTGATCTTGTCCAATACAGACATTATCAGTAACACAGATTAAGAAACTACGAGTCCTGATAGATGAGAAAATTGCAGAAACGGACAAAGAACGTTTGTGTTTAGAGACTGAGAGGTTCGAAAGCCTTCGAGAAATAGGAAACCTGCTACACGCAACTGTACCAATCAGTAATGATGAGGTATTAACTTTGTTTTCATTAGTAATTGTTTTAAAAAGGTCAATGTTGGGATAATTTGTATATATACAGAGACTTTGGAAGTCCTGTTGTCTTAATTGGTAATGCTGAGGTCTTCATTATTATGTGGCTTCATGTTTAAATGATGGTTGCTTAGCAATTAAGCTTTTAATCCAGTGTGTGCCTGTAAAAATGTACTCTCCCCACTGCTTAGAGCTGGCATGGGACACTGCAATCGACTCTATATTGAGAGATGAGCAATCATGGAACTGCTGATCGCTCAGCTCATGGTCTCCTCTCCCTGCAGAGAGTGGTGACTGTCAGTCGCTGCCCCCCACAGAGATTCCTCCCTCCCCTCTCCGGAGGGACAGACAGAGGACAGGGGTGATCACAGCTGGATCTGGCTCTAAAGAGGCAGGCCCAGCTTTCACTTAGCCAACCCCGGAGGATCCCGAAAATTCTTCCCAGCTGCAGCACAGCTCTGAGCTGTCAGCATATAGTGAGCACTAGCTGGCTATCTTCTGACCTTGGGTCATAGGAGTACATTAGTAAATGTACTCCTGTGACCCAAAAGAGAAGTGAATCCACACAAATGTTTGGCTTTATCTCCTTTTCTAATTTCTGGCTGAGCTCTGAATTCTTAACCACTTGAAGTCCGCTGTGTTAAACCCCTTTCCTGTCCAGGCCATTTTTCATTATTCAGCGCTGCAGTACTTTGACTGACATTTATTCAGTCATGCAGCGCTGTACTGAAATGAATTTTATACCATTTTTTTGGGGACAGAAATAGCTTTCTTTTGGTGGTATTTAATCACCACTAATGTTTTTATTTTTTAATATATTAAGGAAAAATTACCGGGAAAAAAAAAGTTTCCCCTAAATTAAATGATAAAACTTTTATTACCCAATTTTTTGCTAAAATATAAGAGACAGGGTCACGTTGGGTAAATGGACACCAAGCATGCCAAGCCTTAAAATTGAACCCGCGTGCGAAACCTCACAAAACTACAATACCCAAAATTGGCCATAGGCGACGCTTTAAAAGCTTTTACCGCTCATCAGTTTAGTGTTATCAGTGATTGATGACCCTAAAATTATTGCTCTCACTGCGATGTTCGCGACGATATGTAACATGTGTAGCGCAATTGTCATTTTCGCACGCTGGCGCATCGACCATTTACGTTTATATGTGCGTAAACGTGGGGGTTGGGGGACTTAAAATTTTTGGGGAGGTTTTTTAAACTTTTTTTACACTTATTGTTATTGCTATCACATATGGGGATAGCAATCTCCCTATATAATAGCAAATGCACACTGACAGGTCTCTAGGACCCCTAATGTCACCTGGGGACCCCCGAAGAAGCTGATGAAGCAGAGATCTGCTTCTTCTCTCTGACTATAGCAGCCAAATGACTGACAGGTGAATGCGATTGTATTACACATCACTTCTGCATTCACAGTACGGAGGGAGATCAACAAGGAGGAAGATGCTGACCTCCGACCCATCTTTCTCCTGACGCCCTCCCGAGCCGGTCCCGGGCCGCAGATGTGCTAGCGGATCCCAGGGTTGAAGGTCGGGGAGGGGGGCTCGCAGCCAGCCAGCACATACATACAATCGGCAGGCTATAGAGCCGCCAATCATATGTATGTCAAACAGCCGGTAACGGCTGTAAAGAACAGGCAAGTTTTTTCTGCCCGTGAGCGTGCAGGAAAAAAAAAGCCGATGCGAGTCCACCGTCCGTACGGACGGCAAGAGGTTAAAGAAGAACAAAATAACCCTTGCAGTAGGGCAGAGGTAAGCTGCTCGTTTTGGTCTAGGGTCCAAAATAAAAAAAAGATATACTCGCCTGATCCTTGATCCCACCTGGCTACTACACTGGTCCCCACAGCCTCCTCTCCTCCAGGCTCCGGCGGTCTAAGCCCTGCTGCCGTCCTCATGTTTAATACAAGTCCACTGACTTGCGTTGAACATGAGAACACGGAGGGACATTCCCCGAGTCGGTGTGTAGGGGGAGAGAGGTGAGCGGTGACCTCCGCAGAATCAAGGATTTGTGAGTGTATCCCTTTTTTTATTTTTTTTTTATTTTAGACCCTAGACCAAAACAAGCAGTTTTGGATAGACCTAGTTCTTGGTCCAGGGAAAATGAAATGGTGAACCTGGTTGAGAACTGCTTTTGCATCACTAGCTGACAGAAGTAAGTAGAACGACAGGTAGGTATGTGAATACCTTGTTTGTTTTTCCTCTTTAGAAAAAAGAGAAAATGTATTTGTAAATCTTGTTGCCTTCTTCATTTATTATGTATTACAATGCTCTCTTCTGGATTTCTGACATTGCTATGTCTAGGACAATGACAACAAAGTGGAGCGCACATGGGGAGACTGTGAAGTTAAAAAGAAGTACTCTCATGTGGATCTTGTGGTTATGGTGGATGGTTATGAAGGAGACAAAGGTGCAGTGGTTGCTGGCAGCAGAGGCTATTTCCTGAAGGTAGGTACCACATCGGCAGCAAAAAGGCTCATTTGGGGAGTTCTCATGGAACATGCATCCAACTGAACAGCACAGTGCTTTTATATTCACTAAAGTGAATTCACGCTCGGAATAATTTTAGGCTATTTTAAAAGCAAACGTTTTATTAAATAACTATGTAAGCTGCTATTTCTGACCTCTCCTCTGTTTGTTGTCTGCCACATGCTGTTCCTATGCTGATGTTCACATTCAGCACTTAAGGAAATTCAATGCTTTTCTGACACTGACTTGGGCTCCATTCACACAAGTGGTGTTCTGCACATATTCGGCCGTACGAATACATAAAAAAACAAAACTATGCATTGCAATGTGCATTATTCAGACTATTGCAGCGGCCACGCAGTACTAAACCACGTGCCCCGCAAAATAGCCCATGCACGATTTTATGGGTGCATTACGCACGTTCTAGCTATAGTAATAGCCGCAAACGTGTGGAATCTGCGCGTATGTTAACGCGGAAAAAGCTTCCACTATGTGTGGATGGAGCCTTACAGCTTTCTTGTTCTGGCTTTGTGACTCAAAAGTACAAAATCCAGTACAGCCAGGCAGTTGACAGCCATGATGGCCTCTATACTTCTTTCATGTAAGATGTACTGTCATTTTAAGTTTATTTACGTTTATTAACTTTGACTTGCGGAAAAAGTACACTTCAATCAGGACTGAAAATGAAGCTTTGAAATGCATGCAGGGGGTACATTGTACCTGCCTAGGCCTCCTGGTTTTTTTTTTTTTTTTAATGGAAGGCAGAACCCCACCCCACTGCTTTAAATACCCTGTGATCAAAAATCTGGGGTACTGGCAGAGCCAAGGGATGTGACATGCATGTGCCATGTAGGCACCCACCCCTCTAGTGTAATGAGGTTATTCAGTAGGGATGCACTAATACCGGTTTTTCGGTATCTAGTACCAATATTTTTTTTTCTCTTACTCGCCGATACCGATAGTCCTAATGACTCACCTGATTAGTCGGGCGGCGTTTAAAGACTCGCCACCCGGTTCCCGATTAGCGGGGAAGCCTTCTCCATGCTTCCTCGTCACTAGATGAAGAGAAAACATGGAGCTGGCTTTGTGGCCAATCAGGAAGCCGGGCGCTGTGAAATGACGCGGTTCCCGGCTTCCTGATTGGCTGGGAAGCCGGCTCCATGCTCCCTCAGCATGAGGTGATGAGGGAGCATGAAGCTGGCTTCCCTGCCAATCAGAAAGCCGAGTGTTGTGTCATTACAGGGCACCTGGCTTCCTGATTGGTCAGGAAACTGGCCAATCAGGAAGCCGGGCAGCGAGTCATTACACGCTGCCCGACTTCCTAAATTGGCCCGGAAAGCTGGCTCCGTGCTCCCTCGTTGCAAGTGACGAGGGAGCATGGAGCCAGCTTCCTGGCCAATCAGGAAGCTGGGCAGCGTGTAATGAGTCGCTGCCCGGCTTCCTGATACCGGAAGTATCATGCTAGGCAGTATCAAGCTAGGCATCAGAGCATTTGGGCGAGTACAAGTACTCGCCAAAATACTCGGCACCGGCACCAATACTAGTATCTGTGCATCCCTTATATTCAGCTTGGTGATGCACAGGACAGACAGAACTGAAAAAAAAATCCTAAAGGACATACTCACATTTCTGAATGTATCCCTGCATCACTAATCTGTCACTTACCACTGCCTTCCATGTTGCAGGGATACATTTAGAAATGTGCTGTATGTCCTTTTTTAGGATTTTGTTTTCAGTTCTGTCTTTATTTTTACTGGAATGTGCTCATACTGATAACAAAATGTTATCAGTATGAATTGCATTACGTTTCTTGTTGGTATGCTTCCTTAAGGTCTGCATTATTATTTCTCTGTCTTTACAGGGTCCACTTGTATTTTTGGAGCAAGCCATTATCCAGTGTGCACTTCAGACTCTAGCAGGGAAAGGTTATACACCCATATACACCCCATTCTTCATGAGGAAAGAAGTCATGCAGGAAGTAGCTCAGCTAAGCCAGTTTGATGATGAGTTGTATAAGGTATGCTACTACCCACCATCTACGTTGTCTGTACTTTTATACCTACAGAAAATGATATTTGTGGTGTTTTTTATTGTTCTGTTTATCTGCATTATTTCCCCTTTTTTTTTATTTTGATGCACAAAAGTGTTTTTATTAAGAATTATTCAGCCCCCAGTGTAAATTCGGTGTACTAAGCCAAATGGTGCCTTGCAACAGCCGTCAGGCAAAGTAAGTTTGTGCTGTGCCATAGTAAAATAATTATGGAAAGTAGCATCTGTCATTGTACTTCATGTTCATTAATATTGCTAAACACTGATACCAGTCCTAGTCTCTTTACATAGGCACACCATGTGTTTCTTAGTCCTATTTTGTACAGTACCTGGTGCTACAAAAAAACAAGAGTAATAACTCTTGCATATCACAAAATACCTTCATATCGTGTAAATGTTGATAAAGACCTGCATCAAGTGGGGTAACCACAGAGACTCCAAATCACCAATACTGTGAATATATTTAAATTTGTATTTATTATTTTTGGGGGCTTAGATGTTGAATACGTGTAACTCTTTATATTGTGTATATGCCCTGGCTATGAATGTTACTGAAATTAATAACAAGTGATGTATTATTCTGGTTTTTGAATTGCATCTAGAATGTAACTTTTCCTTATCTGTTACAAGTAACTTGTTACAAAAATTGGCCCCTAGCCATGACTAGACTAGCAGGTTCAATTTTAATATATTCAGTTACCAATTCCTTAAAGACCTCTATAGCTATTGTTTTGATTTCCTTTTTTTTTAGGTGATTGGGAAGGGTAGCGAAAAATCTGATGATAATTCCATTGATGAAAAGTACCTGATTGCAACATCAGAACAACCAATTGCTGCTTTACATCGTGAGGAATGGTTAAAGCCCGAGGACTTGCCCATCCGTTATGCAGGTATATCCACTTGCTTCCGACAGGAAGTGGGCTCCCATGGAAGAGATACACGAGGAATCTTCAGAGTGCATCAGTTTGAAAAGGTATTCAAACCTTATTGCAATATCACCCTAAAGTGTAAGCATGCTAGAGTTCATTTCAGAGTTCTCTGAATAGATAAAAACACAAGGCTACAAACCAGTTGGTCTTATCTGGTCATAGAACTGACGTGACAGCTAAAGCTGACCATACACTTACAGGGCTATTCACAAAAGGGTGAAGAGTTTGGAGAAGTGAACAATCTAGGACAACATAGCTGATTTAGAAAAATTGGCCCATTCAGCTCACTTTCCACTTTAGCTATGTTGTCCTAGATTGTTCACTTCTCCAGACTCTTCACCCTTTTGCGAAATGAACCAGTGGACATTCACTCAGTGGGTGGCCCTGTCAGCAGCCTTCTGCCCACCACCCTTCAATCAGAAAATCCAAGGAGGAGCCAGGTGAAAAATTCTCGGCCGAACAGTGACTATAGCCAACCAGCTGCAGTCATTGTTCAGGTATTCTGACAGTGGCATACTGGCCACTTTCAAAGTACAAAAGCCCATTGGGAAATAAATGAATCCACACAGACTGAGTAAAAACAAAAAATCTAAGTGTATTACCAACTTAATGGTAAAGTGGAACTCCATTCAGTTTTGGATAGAGTAGGATGGTGGTGGGGTCCTATGTCCGATATTGCTGTCTGCTTCTTTAGTGGTGTGCTCATTGCATTATTTTAACCGCTACCCGGCCGGCCGACCGCTTCCTGGATGCGCACGGCCGGTTAGCCGTGCGCAAGCAGGAAAGACACAACATTTAAAAACAGGCAGCTATGCCTGTTAACATACGGATCGCTTGTATAAGCTGCCGGCCCGTGTGTGTGTGTCCCCCTCCCGTTGTCACGGTGGTCCCGGGCTCCGCTGTGCCCGGTGCGAGCCTGGGACCAGTATAGCGCTTCTCTCACGGGATGAGAGGGAGATCAGTACACGATCTCCCTCTGGTCCCCTCTCCGGTGTCAAAATGCGGAAGTGATGTATATTACATACGATGCATTCTCGTGTCACTCACCAGCTTCAGATGCTGGAGTGAAGCTGATGAAGCAGATCTCTGCTTCTTCAGGGGGGTCCTAGGTGACATTCGGGGTCACCTAGGACCCCGAATGTCTCCATAAAGAGGACCTGTCACATAGGGGGGTTTCCTAGCCCCCTCTGTGATCGCAATAAAGTTAAGTGGGGGGAAAAAAACTAGGAAAGAAAATTATTTTCCAAAAAATGTTTAAGTTACACATAAAAAAGAATAACAAAAAACATTTTTTAAAGTCCCCACCCATACATACGCGCATGTGTCAGGTGCACATACCTGCGAAAACAACCATTGCGCCCATTACACCGCACATGTTACATAACGTCGCAGTGAGAGCAATAATTTTAGGGCCATCAATCACTGATAACACGAAACTGATGAGCGGTAAAAGCTTTTAAAGCGTCACCTATGGTCAATTTTGGGTATGGTAGTTTGTGGCATTTTCGCGGAAACGCGCAATTTTTAAGCTTGACAGGTTTGAGGTTTATTTAACCGACGTGACCCGTCTATTATATTTAACCAAAATAATTGGGTAATAATTGTTTCCTAACATAATGTAAAAAAATGTTTTCAAAATTTTCAGTAATTTTTCTTAAATGTAGTAAAAAATAAAACCCCCAGTGGTGAATAAATACCACCAAAAGAAAGCTCCATCTGTCCCCCAAAAAAGGGTATAAAATTAATTTCAGTACAGCGCTGCATGACGGAATAAATGTCAGTCAAAGTACCGCAGCGCTGAATACTAAAAAATGGCCTGAATGGGAAGGGGGTGGTACACTTGGTCAGCAAGTGGTTAATCTTTCCCTCTCTGGAGTGCATTCTCCATATAGCTCTTTGTATCACTACTGAGCCATCTTATTTTACAGTACAGGTGTATGTGAAGTGACACTAAACTCAGGCGGTAAATCTTAAAAATGCATTAAAGTACCTCCAACTAATAACAAATCTTATTTGTGTATCACTCAGCTGTAGAGCCTCAAATCATCTCTGAATTCATGCTGACACTGTCCTTCCTTCTGGAGGGTGGTTGCTTTTGTTCCCCATGGTCCCCGTGTGTGTGTGTTGTAGAGTAGCTCCCTCTCCCACGATACTTAATCCTCCTGTCCCATCGCACTCCTGACCGGACGAAAACCCAAATCCAACTGGGTGGGTGCAGTGGTGACAACGGATGCCTCCGTGAAATGTAGATAGATGAAAGTAGTCACTCGCACTCGATGATATTAAAGTCAATGTTTGCCTGAGGACGGGGCCGCATGGTCTCGAAACGTCGCTAAGGAGATGTGTGTTATCTCAGTCAATAAACAGCATTTACTTTAATATCATGGAGTGCGAGTGACTACTTTCATCCCTCCCATGATGACTGTAACTCCAGTACAAATTGGTAAACTAAACGTGAGATTGTAGTCTTATCACAGGAGTGAGTTTGGAGCAGTGGCTAGTTTACAACACACACAGGGACCATGGAGAACAAACGTAGCCACCCTCCAGCAGGAAGGCCAGTGTCAGCACCAATTCAGAGATGATTTGAGGATCTACAGCTGAGTGATACACACATAAGATACATTGTGGTTCATATTTAAGATACTTGAATCCATTTTGAAGGTTTAACTCCTGAGTTTAGTGTCACTTTAATTATATGAAAGTTAACTGGCCTGCAGGAGGGTGTCCATCTATCGTTTTGTTGGTCTTTTCTATATTGTGCATACAAAATGTTGGTAAAAGATCAGCTGCCTTTATTTTTGTTTCTTAGACACAGCTTTGTTTAGTATTTAAACAAGACAGCAATAATTCTGCTGAGTGATATACAAATAAGATACATTTTTGTTAATAGTTGGGGTACATGAATGCCTTAAGATGTATCTCCCGAGTATAGTGTTACTTAGTCCCTTTTATAACACACCCATGCATAATACTTGCTTACTTTCTCCCCCCACTAACCGGTTGTGAATTGTGAAAACTAAGAGTATGTGACATTGAAATATTTTAGTAAACCACTACCTGTCATCTAGTTTGTTTTTTGAAATGTTTCTTTTTTTCTTCATTTTAGATTGAGCAGTTTATATTTGCCTCTCCTCATGATAACAAGTCCTGGGAATTGTTTGATGAGATGATTAGTTCAGCAGAAGGATTTTACCAAACCTTGGGCATCCCCTACCGCATAGTTAACATTGTTTCAGGTATGCATGCTTTTACCTTTCCCCAGTTCCTGCTAAATTAAATTCTGTCAAGGAAACTTTGGGAGCCCTAATGTTTGGACACCAGAAGGCACAACTACTGCATATAGAAAGGCAAGGTAATGGAGGTGGGCCATGCAGGTGAAACTTCCTAGGATCCCTGGCTGCATAGAAGGGGTGGAGATGAGAGAGGGAAGGATTGCACTAGGCCGAGATTTACCATCCTCTCAAATGTTTTCTAGAACTTCTCAACATATCTTGTATCCATGCAGATTCAACAATGCATTTTACATGTAGTATTCCAAAAATGGTTTAGGGCTATATAGTACAGAATTCCAAGGTTTATCCTTGCATGTGGTAGTATTCATTCCAGCAAGATTGTTGATATTTTATACAAAACCCTGCCATCCATTTTGTCATTAAGAAAAGATCCAGTCATCCAAAAATCCTTTTCTCTCCCCATGTGAGACTCTGATTTACTACCTTTTTTATTTAGTGTGATTGTTTCTTCACATTTTAAATTTGCTAACTTTCATATCATATACAATACATTTCCTAGTGATCAGGATGACTGCTAATGCCTGCATTAGAGAATTTACTTTAAAGAGGGACTGAACTCTGAAAGCTGTGCCTAAAAGGACAGTGTGCAAATAACTAGGCGGCATTATTGCTTGTAGTCTCCCTGCAGCTGATCCTTTCCGCATTACTGACCTGTCATGCCATTCTGCACTGTGCCTCTGTGTGGAGGTGGCCATCTTGATAGGGGCAGGGTTTAACTTCACGTCAGGACCTCCAGCCAGAAAAACAGTGAGCAAAACAGTAGTGACCTGACCAAATGTTGTTTCAAATCTCCTAAGATAAGCAGTCATAGACAGCAGCACCTTAGATCTCACACGGCACATATACAGCTATGTGGCTGTTGGTATAGGAGCGCCTAGACTCACTCGCATACCAGGAAATGCAATGTTATTTTAAAGGAGGAAGACTAAGGGTAAATCTTTCAGGGAACTGCTTAGGCGCAATTAACATTTCTAAATGTTCCCCATAACACAGCAAACATTCACTTTTTGAGTTCAGGTCCACTTTAATGTATAACTGTTTGGGGTTTATTGCCATTTTACCTATATTTTTGTCAGTCTGTTTCGAAAGTCTTAAAGAAAGGGATTCCATCTCATGCAGAGTTTAGGTTATAATGCTATCACTCACTCTGTGGGGCACTGCCAGTGACCGATAAGCTGCTCATGAAAGACAGGTCAAAGATTATGGCTGTGCATAGTACCCCATATATTTACAGCTGTTAACTGGTTAAAAAAAAAAAGACTGCAGTTAAAGTACGGTAACTTTATTATGGATGACTCTCATTTTGAAAATGCTGGTTCTCTGTCATTCTGATGCTTTGACTTCAAAGCTATCTGAGTTGCTGAGCAAATATAAAGAGAAGTAGTCATGGCACTTTTCTGACACTCCTTTACAGCCCGCTTATTGTGGTTATGTGAACCATTTAGCAAATATACATTTTGTTTGTGTCTGAAGTGAGCTGAATATAGAATGTCCATATGTGTAAATCCTAAAGCATTATTTAAGCTATAAATGCTGCATAGTTATGAGGACTTTTCTTCCTTTTACAGGTTCTTTAAATCATGCAGCCAGTAAGAAGCTTGACTTGGAAGCATGGTTTCCTGGCTCTGCTGCCTTTAGAGAGTTAGTGTCTTGTTCAAACTGCACCGACTATCAGGCGCGAAGGCTGCGCATCCGTTATGGACAAACAAAAAAGATGATGGATAAGGTAAAGCAATGGGCTCATTTTAGTCAGCTGTTTGGTCTCTATGCTGAAGCTCGAGCTGCAATTAAGATATGGAACGTCTAAAACACGCCAATACTAATATTAAACATAATTAGTAAAGCTTCTAACATATTGCATTGTCTTGTATGTTGCAGGCTGACTTTGTGCATATGTTAAATGCTACTATGTGTGCTACAACACGAACCATCTGTGCAATCCTGGAGAATTATCAGACTGAAGAAGGAATAATTGTACCAGAAAAACTCAGGGATTTCATGCCTGCTGGTCAGTATAACTATCGCCATTCTTTTAGATCTTAAAATCTGATTCCAACATTGATCATTTTATATCATTTTATATTTGTATTAGTGAAATGATCATGCTGTTAGTCTTATTAGATGAATAGGTTTGCCTCTTTAGTATCCCACTTGCCCTAGTCATAACATGCACTTGACTGGTGTAAAAACAAAACCCAAAAAACCTCAAGCTGCAACAATCGCCTGTAATTTGGAGCCGTCTCTTTAATCAAAACTTTTTTCTTTTTCTCTCTCTCTACAGGATACAAGGATATAATAAAATTTGTCAAGCCAGCTCCAATTGATATAGAACTAACAAAAAAACTAAAGAAACAGCAAGAAGGTGGGAAAAAAAGCCAAAACAGTGAACTAGACTCCAAGATGCAGAAAATGGAAGTCAATAGTGCATAATGTTAGGATAACTTCCATCATTTTATTCCAATGCACGAATCCTATCAGCCTACCGACATACAACTGACCATTAAATTATTGGGCCTATGTCATTTTCATGTACTCCTGTAATATTATTTACGCTCTCTAGTCTGCTTCTGCTTACAACAAAGAACAGTTGGACTGTTTTAATTCAGGGGTTATTACAGAGGCAAAGTGGAATCAAATGTACTCCTAAATATATATTTAAAAAGGGGGAAAAAAAATAAAGCAGGCTGTGAAACTGTGTTCATGTTACAGTTCTTGATTGGAAAATTAGCTTTTGTACTTTTTTTTTTTTTTTTTTTTTTATTCTTTCCTAGCTCATGGAAGTATCAGTTCTATGACTTCTTACCATTTTAAAAGGGCAAGAGTAAAATACATTTTTAGACAGCTCCTGGGCTTTCCTTTTAGACCAGATTATACTCTCATATTTCATTATTAAACCAATGCTGAGATACTATCCAAGGTTTTGCAGATTATTTGTTTTCAGTTTGTACTCTTTAGCATAGTAGATGCTCATACTACCTACTGAATGTGGTGAAACATTATGATTCGAATAGACTTCCGCGCTGGAGCCAAAAGAAATCCCTTTGTTTACAAAGCCAGCCAGCACTCTGATGTATTGCACAAACGCCAGTTATAACAATCAAAAGTGAGAACAGCACTATAAAGTCCCCCCCTAAATTACCCCCTTTTGAAAAACAGACCAGTTTAAAAAAAAAAAAAATGGGTGACATTGTGATAGATTTTGTTACAAGGGTGGATGAAAAGGCCTGTATTGGATGGACGGGTCGTACAATGGTAATTGGTTGCACATCCTTCTCTATTGCCATTACAATCGTACGATTCTCGGTGGGTTTTCGAACATGTCCGTAAGTTAAAAGTCGTGCGACCTTACAGTAGCAGAGGTCGCACGCCTTCCACACACCTTGTGATAATCGTACGATCGCTGGATTTCCCGCGATTATCGCAAGGTGTGTGGGCACCTTTTACTCTACAGGATGTCTGGGGTCTCACTGAAGCATAGGATGCTTAATCATTTTTCCTGGCACTTTAGAAAACTCATTACTGGAGGATTTTTTTTTTTTTATAGAGCACAATTAAGTTGTGGAGGGTCACCTGGGTAAGGTATATTGCAACCTTTTTAATACCAGGTCCTTAGGTTCCTCTTTATCAGGTTAGACTGAAAGACCTTGTCAGATAGTTCATCCCCACCTATGCACTTGAATTTATTGACAGAGCTTTTTGCTTGGGTGACACTTGCTCACATTACATTAGTCATTGAGCCATCCGGGTGCATGGTTGTCAGCATATGTATGGTTTTCCAGTTGGTAAACTTGATGACCAGCAGTTCCTCTTGCTGATAACCTCTACAGCAAGGTACATCAATAAGTTATCTCGCCAGCTGTTGTGGCATATCTGTGCAGATTTTCCTTATGATCCTACATGCTCTCTCGTGTTTGCACCATGTAAAAAGCTGCACATTGGTGTAGCAGTATCTATATCCAGGTGGAAGCCTTTGTGGAACAAAGAGTGCATGAGCTTCTACCTATATTTTCTTGGTAGTCTCTTAACAGATATTTTAGAAGGCAAACATACGTTGGTCAGTCACCCAATTTGTAAATTTTAACCCCAACCTGCTTGAAAGGTATGAATTCTGCTTTCGAAATGCGTTAGCCGCTTTATCTATAGAAACTTTTTTGCCTGGGATCTATATTGATGAAAATTGGCTGAATAAAAACAGAAATGAGTGGCTGTAATTTGAAGAGACGATCATGTTTGGGGACACTGTGAATTGTGTTGGAAATGTAAGAAGCAGCACAATGATTCAATCTGGTCTCTCTGTATCATTGCTGAAAAAGTAGGAGTGGTAGGGATGGAGCTAGAGGCCTATTTGTGGCACATTCCAAACTTTCAGACTAAACCCATGTTCAAGATGACAACCAGAACTATTTCGATTACTGTAAGGTGTATTGGCACCCATTTGTTACAATTGGAAGATGTGGGGAAAGTGGTATAAAGATTTGTCGAAGTAACAAAAAGCTTTGAGAGCTCATCAATCAAAGTCCTTTAATACACTGAACTAAAAACTGGATTCCTGAGTCACCAAGCCATGGACAACCTGGTTGTTGGTGCTAGACCTGGTGTAGGCAACCTTGGCTTTCCAGCTGTGCTGAAACTACAAATCCCGTCATGCCTGTGGCTTGCAATGCCTTATGGGATTTGTAGTTTCAGCACAGCTGGAGAGCCAAGGTTGCCTACCCCTGTGCTAGATGCATCTTTCTTTGCAAGGATTGGACTAACTCGTACTGCCATAACAGAATTGTGTGTTGTAGGAGGCTGGAGTGAAACTGGGCAATTGAAATGGACTTAAGTTTCTCCTGAGAAAAAAAAAAACACCGGCTTTAGAATTGTCTTGGACTAGATCTAGACTTTCCAAGTGATGAGGTGGTTCCAGTGCTGATTTCTGAAGGTTTAGGATCCATCAAAAGATCTGGACAGATAGGGCTACAGTGTTTGGCAGAACCTGTGTTAACTGTTCCCTCCAATAGGAGGCAGTCTAGGTACCCCATATGGGGATACTGCAAGCCTCCCTGATGAAGGGCCAAGTGGATTCCATATAGAACTTCTGATCTCAAATAAAGATATTTAGAGCTTTTTAAATCCAAGATGAGGTGCATGTTCTCTTTGGGCTTGGGGACAGTGAACAGGTTGGAGAAAATTCCCTGAAACTATTCTTGCACCGGAACCAGGGGCACCGTGTTCCAAGATTAACAAGTAGTTCATGAAGATCTGCTAATTTGTAGCGACACCAGTAGGTTACAATTGATGAAGCGGGGAAGGAAACGTTAGCCTGTAGCCCCTCAAGAACACTACCTGCACCACAGCATCTGAATTGCAGGCTGTTCAAGTGTCAGCAAATGCTTTTTTTTTTTTCTGTGCTGTCCATCCCTTTTTCTATTTTTGTTTTTTCCTCTAGCCTCTATAATGGACCTTGCTGAGAGAAATATCTAATGTGGAACAAATCATTTTTAAGTGGGGGGTATGGAGCACCACGGTGGAAGCATTGATTTGTACAAAGGCTGTAATAGCTGTGAGCTCTAGCAGTCTCACATAATGTGTCCCCTGTCTCCAATAACTGCTAGAGTATGTTCTCCTGTAACATGTCTGCAGTTTCTGACAGCTTACTGTAGCATTGTATTCACAGATTATGTGTGGTCCTTTGCTAATTTCAGGGCCGCGCTGGTCTGAGGGCTTGGAGTTCCAAGGCTTGTGGTTAAAGCAGATTTTGGCTTGGAATATGAGACTTGAGTATTTTCTTGACATCGAATGAGGAGTGAGCCATCCCAGACTGAGCCCCAGTCTTCTTTGGCTGAGGGAGACAGATACTCTTGCCCCCTGTTGCATCTTTAATGAGGGCATCCAAGACGAGCCCAAAGGCGCTTTGCAGGTCATGCAGATTAAGTGCTTCTTACACACAGGCTCTGCAGTCCAACACTTAACCAGTGTCTTCAACATATGCACTGACAAGAGACTCACGTGGTAAATAGAACAGGGGAAAAAAAAAATCAAACAACCAAATCCACACTGTAGCTCAGAGCTGTATGCATTAGTTCCAGATACTCTATGACCAAGGGATCAACTGACATAGTGATCAGATACTTTCTAATAGCCTTAGACCAGACAGCCAAGTTTTGACAGATCAAGCTTAGAGCCAGACATGCTTGAGAAAACAAAGCTCCAGCTCATCAGTGGGGTCCTTAAAAACAGGACACTGCCAGATCCACAGAGAAGGCAGACCACTTTTTAACAAAGTTCTTCTCAAACAGATACAAAGCTGACAAACATTTGGGAGGTAGACATCTTGTCAGGATGTTTTCAGTATTCATAAAAGGAAGACTGAGAACAGAGGGTGCACAACAAAGGTCCTGGCAATCTAAGGAGCTCTAAAAGATCCTAGACTTGGAACAGCACTGGTAGAAGAAACAGGCTGATCCTCTAGTTTCAAAGTGGTATGGCTCATTAGTAAGAGCTGAAATGATTTATTATTGTTTGGAAGTAATTGGAGAAGATTAAGACTCCTGAAATAAGGTTTGCCCAGCAAGGACTAGAAAGACAGAGTCTTAGACCATGTAGGAAATGTTCCATTTATCACTACCATCTGGATCTGTTCCTGCAACTATTTTCTACACATGTACATACAATTTCTTCAATGCCAACAGACCTTAATTTGAAAGTTAAAAGAACTATGGGGTAACCTTTTTATCCCATAGTTCTAATCAGGGGCACGGGAGGACATATACTAACCTCCTCCCGTGACACAAACCTCAGTATATAACGAGCTACAGCTTGCTATATACTGAGAGCGCCGCAGCCGGGACGGATCCCTTCGATACGGTCTAGTGCCACCAACCTATCTGATTGACAGCAGGCTCTGCCTACCTAGAGGCAGAGCCAGCTGTGCCCACCCTATCCCTCCAGTCAGAGCTGAAGGATCGGAGAAGGAAGGGGGGGAATCTCTGCAGGGAGACGATTGGGAAGTGAGCGACGGTATGTGTTTGCTGACCTCCCAAATCAATAGAGCCGACAGTTTCCTTGTCACACGTCGGCTCTAACTATGAGGATGAGTAAAAATCACTCACCTCAGTTCTCCTTCAAGCATTTGTGGATACTGTTTCAAATGCTCTAGTAAAATGCAGATAAGCTACATCCACTAGCCTTCCTCTAAAGAACTATGAGGTGAGTGAAAATCACAATTAAACTGTCACACTTCGGCTCAATAGATCAGGAAGTGAGCGAACGCATACCGTCGCTCGCTCATCTCTGCAGAGAGCGGTGACCGTTAGATTCCACCCCCCCCAGTGCTGAGTGGAGGAACTGATGGGGAGGGGGCGGACACAGCTGGCTCTGCCTCTAGATAGGCAGAGCCAGCTGTCACGCAGCTGGGTGGATCTCAACAGCATTGTCAAGATCCAACCAGGCTGTGGCGGTCTCAGTATATTGCGGGCATAGGCTCGCTATATACTGAGCTTTGGGTCACGGGTGGACGCTAGTACAGGTGAAACTCGAACAATTAGAATATCGTGCAAAGTTCATTTATTTCACTAATGCAACTTAAAAGGTGAAACTAATATATGAGATAGACTCATTACATGCAAAGCAAGATAGTTCAAGCCGTGATTTGTCATAATTGTGATGATTATGGCTTACAGCTCATGAAAACCCCAAGAACCCCAATCTCAGAAAATGAGAATATTACATCCAATCAATAAAACAAAGGATTGTACATAGAACAATATCGGACCTCTGAAAAGTATAAGCATGCATATGTACTCAGTACTTGGTTTGGGCCCCTTTTGCAGCAATTACTGGCATTACTTTTGCACGATATTCTAATTATTCGAGTTTCACCTGTATATGTCCTCCCATGACCCTTAAGAGAACTATGAGGAAAACCACTTAGCCCATAGTTCTCTTAAGTTACTGCGCGCATCCTCATAGAATGTTGTTAATAGACAAGAGCAGATCTTCATAAATCCATATGGGTTGTTACTTATACCATTTTCATAGACAAATTCTTGAATATAGTCCCCTACCATTCTTTCCAAAACCTTGCATACTATTGATGTTAGGGCACACCAATACAGCAGGACTGTACCCCTTTGTCTAGAATCAGACATGTTGCAACCACAAGGCTGATAGGCAACATAGCTCAGGGTACGAGTCAAAGACTTCAGGTACTCACAAACCCAACTGCTGGTAGCAGATTGTAGGGTGAGACAGCCAGGAGGTGACCACGTCACTGTAGAAGGGCAGCAGGAACAAATCGTGGATCAGATTTCTACATGGCTCTTGCAAACCAAAGCAGCAGTGAGAAGATTAATCCTCAAGGTTAAATGGTGGGAAAGAAAGCATGCAACACTCCACCTAGAGGCTGGTGTCAGTATGCACTCCCTCAGTGTTAACTCCTCCTGCAGTAAACTATCAAAAAGTGGGAAATTTGAAGGTGCTCAGTGGGCCATAAACAAGGTAGCCGTCTACTCATAAAGTAAGTCTTCAGAGATAGGGCAAGCGTTGAGGCAAATACAGCAGATCTGGACCTGGAAATCGCTCAGCAGCTAGCTTAACATTAATGGGGTCTGGAAATCGCCACAAGTGGAACCCAGTGCTTGAAGGCTACATTCCAGGCTTGCCCTTAAACACCCAGTTGGGTCTGGGTATTGCACTTCAAAACTAGGCTGCGAAAAAGGCTGATTTAGCTGCTGTGTAGGGACCAAACATCTGCAGTGAAGAATCTTGATTGGTGGAAAGGGAAAAAAGGGAGCATTGCTGACTAAAAGATGTCCATCCTATTAGGATACCAGCAAAATACTGAGAATCTTGCAGGAAGAGTCCTGGGCTGAGCTACAGTTCTTTGATTTACCAGTGTCCAATTCTTCTGTAGGTAGCAGTACAACCCAAGAGCAAAGACTACCTGCGTCTCTCAATGGTCAAGAAAAACCATCAAGCCTCAAAAATTAGTGATGTCAAAAAAACTACGATACACAAAATAGTAACAAAAACTGTTACATCTCATCATTTTGGATGAGAATCACAGAAGTACTCAAAGCTGCTCTTGCCACTCAATCCAAAATGCCCCTGCAGTGATCCTCAGCTCACCCAAAAGCAAGGAGTGTGCCTGGCCAGGAGCTGCTACTTGTCTACTATGTAGAGGTGATCAGGTGGCTTTACAGTTCACAAATTATTTCTGCTAAAATACAGGAAGGACAGACGATTCATTTTCACACAAATTCATAGCTAAAGTTAGGGCCTGTGTCAATCTGATATTGATCGTGTCACACAAATTTTGCATTCCTATAAAAGGCTATGGGAATGGAAAACCTGCTTGAAGCAGGTCAAATTAAATACAGGATCTGGCTTTTCTCTATATAGTAAAAGTGGGAATTTGGGAACTGGAAATGACCTGATCAACTCTACATAGTGGGAAAGATAGCAGCTCCTAGCCCAGTCAACTGAAGTTCAAATTATAAATGATCTCAGAAGTGTTTCAAGCTGATGCCATCAATACAAGCCCATCAACATAGGCCCTTACAGTGGTGGTAATTAAAGGTGCAGGCATGGAAGCTGTAATCCTTGTCCAGGCTTCACTAACTAGTGAAAGCCTGAGCTGGCATGAACATGCAGCCATAAGAGATAGAAAAGGCTCACGGCCCGACTAGCTCAGAGATTTCCAACTCCTGTTCTCGAAGGCCACATACAAGTCAGATCTTTCATATAAACCGAGTCATTATCTGACTCTTTCTTGAACCATACGTTACTGAATTTACAGCTGTCCAATAGAGAAAAGCCAAAAAATGTGTTTGGTTCCTGGCCCTGGAGGACTGCATTTGGACAGATCCTGCCTTTAAAAAAAAAGCCTGCAATAGTAGCAGCTCCTGAATTTCACAGGTAATATTTTTCTTTGAGGCAATTACGAAACAACAGACCCCATGTGCAGGGTTTATCAATGCTTCTACCATCGATATGATTTTATTTTTTTTATTTCAACCTGCAGTACAGTCTGCTGGTAAAAATTTTTACAGAATGCACGTTAAGCATAAGTGGATGTTGTCTACCAAAATATCCTTTAAAATGTTAACATCAATCTGGTGCATATGGAGGAAGGAGCCCGAAGGGCACGGGCTGTGAACAAAAAAAATATTGGCATCAAAATGACATCCAGACCAATCAACTTTCTTCTGAAGAGCCTCAGCTAGGGAAAGCTAGCCAGGACGTTTACACAAATCCCAAATTCAGCCATGAACATCCGGTTCAGGGCAAGCATCTTAATGTCTGTATATACCATTAGAACTAGTGAATGTTGCAACCTTGACTATGATTAGTAATGGACATTGTGACGGATTCTTTTAAAGGAGAACTATGGGGTCAGTGCTTTTCCCCATAGTTCTCCTTAGGGTAACGGGAGGACACAAACTAGCGTCCTCCCGTTACCCTAAGCTCAGTATACCGCAAACTACAGCTCGCAGTATACTGAGACGCCGCAGGCGGAGCAGATCCCGACATCGATGTCGAGATCCGCCCAGCTGCGTGAGTGACAGCTGGCTCTGCCTATCTAGAGGCAGAGCCAGCTGTACCCGCCCCCTCCCGTTCCGCCAGATCGGATCGGGGAATCCAGCCCCTCCCCCTGTCACGGCAGAGAGCCGTGACAGGATCGAGAGGCGACCGAACCCGGTACGTGTTCCCTCACCTCCCGATCTACTGAGCCGACCTGTGACAGTCTCATTGTCACAGGTCGGCTAGAACTATGAGGTGAGTGAAATCACTCATCTCATAGTTCTCCTTTAATGTAAAGTTTTAGCTTGTTTATGAAGATTAAAATGTTTGCATGACCTTCTGGCATGCACATAGTCTACAGTCAACAATCTCGACATAATAGGTAATAACCACCTAATTTCTTTGTTGTTCTGCTCTTATAATGGAAAAGCCCGAAGGATTTTGACTTCATCAAGTGGTCTGTCCTGACTGTCTGTTTCCACCATGCCCAGTCTGTTCAGTGTACTAAGGCCTTGGGCAACACGTCCAAAAATAGTGTGTTTCCCATCCAACCACTGAGTAGGTGCCAACGACAAGAAAAACTGACTTCCATTTGTATCTGGTCCAGAATTTGCCATAGCCA